CGTGACGCCTGTGCCAAACCCGTCCGCCCCCCCCCCAACCAAACCCCGCCCCCCCATACCAGAGGCTTGTGCCCACATTCCAGCAGGAGTGCATGCCCAGGCGGTGAAACAGGACACGGGTGCAGAGAGCAGGGAGCAGAGGAGTCCTGTTTGAAGCTGACCTTCACGTCAATGATATACGAGCGACCTCCCTGCCCCAGCCCTGCTCTCTGACAGCAGGAGGGCAGCTGCTGCTGCTGCTGTGGAGCTGATAATGAATGATTGATGCATGATGTCATGCCGTCGGCCAACACAGACCTCTGTGTCGTGGTACAACGGTGAGCCGTGGAAAATGATCCATTTTTTTTTGTTGGGCTGAAAAACTATTACTCATTTATGGCATATCATTTTTATTTCCTCATCAAAGCATGAAAGGCCGAACAATTAAATCATCGTCTGCTAGATGGCAGCAGATGGCAGTGAAAACTAAAAAAAAAAAAAAAAAAATCCGATTTGTTGAAGAAAATCTCTTTCTTCAATTCCTGCCAGGATATCAGCGTTGTCTTCAACTAAACAGGCTGAGATTTTAGCCAATGACGAGGTCATTTAAACTAGAAGATTATTATATGTTTGTTGTGAGTTTTTGGTTCGATGGCGTCCTGTGAAGGGTCAGCAGAACAGACCCATCAGATCACTGACACTGGAGTCTGGAGTCCTGGGTTTTAATGTACTTCCAAGTGTTTCAGACAAAAGAGTTTTCCTCTGCTGTTCCCCCTGGTCCTCACCCTAAGTCAGCAGACTTCCCCAAGCGTTTCCTTTCCTCTCCGCACTCTCTCTCTCTCTCTCTCTCACTCAATGGGACACACTCACCCGGAGTCTGCTCGGAGAGCGAGTCGCACAAAAAACACGGCAATAAACTTGCAATAATACAACAGTGGGTGTCCCCCGGCGCCTTTGTCATTCAGATGTCGGGCCTTTCTGGGTCCTGCAGCGGAAGGCCGCTCATTCATCCTCAGAGAGTCAGCGAGATTACTGCCAGTGTAGGACGGACTCCGCTGAGAGGCGGCCCATTGTTCCCCTCTGATCTGTGTGTTTATGTGTGAACTCGTCAGAGACGCTGAAGGTCCACTTCTGTCCTCCTCCTCATCATCATCATCCTCCCCAGTTACTCACCCCGCTACACTTCTCCTCCTAATCCCTGCAGGAATGTGGCTTTGGTTACGGCGACGATGCCCGGTGTGTGCCCTGCCGGAGCAGCCGCTTCAAAGAGGAGCGGAGTCTGCAGAAGTGCAAGCCCTGCCTGGACTGTGGCCTCCTCAACCGCCTCCAGAAGGGCAACTGCTCCACCACCAGCAACGCCGTGTGCGGAGACTGTCTGCTGGGGTGAGAGAAGGAAAACGATTATTGATAAGGAAACAGTTGAACAGTCAGCCATGTTTGAAGGTCAATAAAAATCACTTTTTTTTTTTTTACCTCTACAGATATTACAGGAAGACCAAACTCAGTGGCTTCCAGGACATGGAGTGTGTCCCCTGCGGGGACCCCCCCCCTCCGTATGAGCCTCACTGTAAGCACAAAGTTCATTCCATTAATATTTTCTTCATTTCCTACTGAAAAACAGGTAGAAAAGACATCGGTTAGAAGCGGTTTTGAAAAACAGAAACTCACGTTCGCGGCATTGAACTCTCTGCCAAACGGTACTAGAACCAGAACTGAAGCGGCGGCGCCACAACAAAGGCCGTGCACACGGGACATGCCAGCACAAGGCCCTGGGCATTACCAGAACCACAGGGTGTTTAAAGGGTGGAGCGAGGCAGCGTTCATTCACTAAGTCTCACGGAGCCGCGCGGCTACGCTACCTGAGCAAATAAAGGGCAGGATTTATGGAGTCGGGCGTTCAAACGCTGCAGTGGATACCACTGTTGGAGGAGTGGATTACAGCAGCGGTTGAAAACATCACTCAGCCTCAGCTCAGAGGTCGGATTAAAAAAGTCAACTTCCTCAGACAAAACCTTCATTGATATTTTCAGACAAAACGCAACTCGGCGTCGCTGTTTTCTGACATTTACTGTTGTTTCAGTGAGAGGATCGGGGAGTGGGCCGCTGATAAAAATCACTTAGTGTGTGTGTGTGTGGGGGGGTAAGGGTTAGAGTTAGGGTGTGGGGGGGGGCAGAGATCCCATCTAAAGTTATTGCATGTAGTAGAGACAAAAAGTGACTCAACCTATGGTTCCGGGGACACAGGAAGCTGCTGGCCTCAAACCTCCGGGGGTGTTCACTCACAGGGTTCTGGAATTTTAAAAATAAGGGGCGTGGACTTTTCACTGATATGTTTTTTAAATGAAGTAATTGATCAGTTATGACCTCCTTCTTTAATCCCTTCATTTCTCACACACCTGGAGCACGCCGACGTTCACGAGCTAACGTTAGCCACGACAGTCCTGCTGCAGACGAGTGGAACAGACAGCAATTAAAAAAAATAAAAAAAAGATTAATTAGTTACAGAATATTTACAAAGCCGACCACATGTTACTAACACACCAAAACAAAAACATTTTTATCATAAAATGTTTTCCTACAGTTAATAACTCTGTAAATAAATCCAAACAAAGGCCGGAGTTTACCTTCAGACGGGCCTGTTCTGGTCAGCAGCCCTTATGTTTGACACCACTGGTAATAAACGTTAGCCGTTGGACCAGTGGCCAGACCTCAGTGGGACAAACTAGCCTTAGTCTCTGAGGACGCAGCTGGACGTGACGCTTCCAAATGTTCGAAAGTTCCCCGCCCCCTGGTGGTGTCCTGATGAGGCTGGTGAAAACATAAAGGGCAGATCATTCTGATGG